CAATGGCTTCGCTGTGTAGTCTGACATGGTGGTTGTTGGAGTGGTCCAGCATTTCTGTGTTCTCAAATAATATGCTGTGTCCAGGTTGGTTCATCAGGTGCTCTGCTATGGCTGACTTCTCTGGTTGAAGTAGTCTGCAGTGCCTTTCATGTTCCTTGATTCGTGTCTGGGCGCTGCGTTTGGTGGTCCCTATGTAGACTTGTCCACAGCTGCATGGTATACGGTAGACTCCTGCAGAGGTGAGAGGATCCCTCTTGTCCTTTGCTGAACGTAGCATTTGTTGGATTTTCTTGGTGGGTTTGTAGATTGTTTGTATGTTGTGTTTCCTCATCAGCTTCCCGAATGGACACAGCATATTATTTGAGAACACAGAAATGTTGGACCACACCAACAACCACCATGTCAGAACACAGAGAAGCCATTGAAATCCACAAGCATGTGGACAATTTCAACAGAAAGGAAGAGACCATGAAAATGAACAAAATCTGGCTACCAGTATTAAAAAACTCTAAAATTATAACAGCTAAACAACAGAGAGAAAAAACCAGGCACAGATTAACACCTCCCAGCAACAGATTTTCCCAGACTCAGGCAGGCCTTCAAATGCTAATGAAGGTGATCAGCTAAACATTCACACCTAACTGCAGCAGGGAAGAGCTCCTTGCCCCACCCCAGCCATTCCACAGATATATGAACCCATTTTTCCTACTTCCAACAGACCTCACAACCTCTGAGGATGCTTGCCATAGATGCAGGCGAAACGTCAGGAGAAATGCCTCTAGAACATGGCTCTATAGCCATTACAGTTAACAGGTGCAGAAGGGAGGGAAAGTTCAAGGCCTCCCTCTGAAACATTCTCAGGAACACTGGTACTTTCATTTTCCAAATCTACAGAAGTTCCTTCCTCACTAATTTCAGGAACATTGGCATTTTCCAAACCTACAGCAGTTTCTTCCTCACTAATTTCAGAAGCATTGGCATCAAAAGGTACATTTCCATTAGCATCAGTAAATATACTTTCATTAGCATCAGGAGGAACAAACAGAGAATCAGGTTCAAGTTCAAACTCAGGCTGAACCCCAACAGCAGGGCCAGACCAGGAGGAAGGGCTGGATTGGTCCAGGAGTGGGTGGGGCAGGGGGTGGGGCTAGGGGTGGATCACCCTCAGGCTTTCCTCCCAGCATAAGGATGGGGCTGCTAACCCTATTGCTATGCTGGAAGGAAGGTGAGGCTTTGCAGGTCTCTCAGACCCCTCCTGCCTCTCCCTTCGTCCAGCCTCAGGATGGGGCCTCACCTCATCCTGATGCCTGGAGAAGGGGGAGGCAAGGGGCAAGCGAGGCAGTTTTTGAGCCGCTTTGCCCACTGCCTGCCTTCCTCCTCATGCTGAGCCTCTCCTGGCATTGGGAGAGTAGAGGCCAGAAGGAGACCCCAAGGAAGGCACATGGCGACTGAGACTACTCTAGGGGGCTCCCAACCGCCACACATCTTCCTCCCTCTTTTTGGCATAAGGACACAGTTAGCCACCTCATTCTTATGCCCAGAGGACAGGGGAAATTTAGAGGGCAGGACATAAAGGCCCAGAGGGCAATATCCAGCAGGCCTTAGTTTGCCCATGCCTGGGATACAGCAAGCTCCCCCCCCCCCCCCAGTACCCCTCAGTGTAATTTGTTTTCAGTGTCTCTCAATGCCTCCCAGGGGACATGGGGGAATTTTCATATGTTTGGCCAAAAAAGCCCTTATTTTGAAAAACTAAGTGTACTGGTCTCCCATGGGACTCATAAAACATTCTCCTGGGACTAAAATGCCTCTGGGGTGAACATGGAGAACATATCCCAATGTTTCCTATAGTGTTTGTCGGCATTTGGGAAGGGGTATTATTTGATTTTTTTCCTGTGGGACTGTAGAATGGGGTGTGGCACTCCCATAGCTGCTTGGGATCTGATGCAGTATAGACAGAGGTTGTTCTGATGCCCCCAATTCACCACTGGTCACTAAATGATGTGGCAGTGAAAGCTAAAAAGTGAGCCCTCTGATTACTTTGGCCATTATGCAAGATTGGTATAGAGTTCAGACCTCTGCAGTGACAGGAAAAGAGACTTATCTATCATGTAAAATCCAATTTATGTCACCATAAATCATTAATATGCCAGTTGCTGTTTATGCCACTCAAATCCACACATCCAGATTAAGTCCCATTTGACACTAGACTGACTCTGAATTCATCATTTGGGTATTCGCTTGGCAATTAGGAAGTGTCTGCATGTCCCTTCATAACAAGCAAAGCCTTTCTTTAATCACTGGAGGAAGCAGGTACATATTTTGGCACTTGTGGTCCTGCAGATGCCCAGAGCCTTATTGTTAGGAGTTTCTAGCAGCCTGGCAGTGGTCCATTATTCTTATTCCAGAAGAAATAAGTCTTAGAGTCAAAGTTTCAAGATAATGTCAACACAGTACTTAGTATACAGTACACTGGGCCACAGAACCAGCATGTTTAGGGCTTCTATGTAGCAAGTCTATATGGTGCTCCTGATTAGTTCTATGCAGTTATCTGAAAGAGCTACAAACGGATGGAAACTTGAATTAATTACCTCATTATTTCAAATACAGTTAATCACTATTATAATTTTGCTTTGATGTGATTGAAGGTTCAAATATCGGAAATCCCCCAATAAAGTAACATTGGGCAACATCATGTGTGGTATAAACAGATTTCTTGTTGAGCAGTGGTGTGCATCCTTTCTCCTCCCCCCCCCCCTCCATAATTATTCTTCAGGGACAGGGGGCATTGTATGTATGTGTAAGGTTGAAACAGAAGGTGTGAGAGGTAGGGAAGAACTGTTCTACCAGCAGTGTCCTTTCTTCCAGCAGAGAGACATTTTGATAAAGCCCGGTGGTTTTAGAGGTTGTAAGGACACAGAAGAGAAAGCCTACAAGCTGAAGAGTTTCAATGGCAGGTGTGATTACTATATCCCTGCTTCTTTGTTGTTTCAAGCAGCTAAGGGATTCTTCCTTTTATGTTTCTTGTAAATCATATTTTAAATATAACCACAACTTAAAATTTTATGACTAAACTTATTTTCTCACCAAGGTGCACTGAGGAATTTTCACTGCATGTGTTCAAGCCAATTATAATGGTTACTAAAATGGGTGCCACGATACATTATGACAATAAATGTTGCTTCAGCATAATTGTTGGGAAGGGGATTGTATTTAAACACAATTCTTTTCATGTACACAGTACAAATCTATGTAACTGTATGAATTTAATCAACTTAAAATATTGTGTTTCCATATTTGCAGTCAGTTTTCCTGTTGACAAGAAGTATAGTTAGCCCTCCATATTTGCTGGGGTTAGGGGTGCAAGACACCCACGAAAGTAGAAAAAACAAATTTAATAACACTATTTTTAAAAAATTAAGAGAACTCCTCTGTTGAAATCTCTAGGTCCCCCTAGCTCTAAGGCCAGAATCTCACTGGAGGACATGGGGATTCCTTGAGAGAATATTTTAATTGAATTTATGAATAATCAAATCCTCAAGAGTCAAATCTGCAAATGTAGAATATATTTTAAACAATTTATGGTGGCATATTCAACTGCAAACACATGCACCTGGGTTTATATGTGAGTCATTGAAAAACACAAAGTATGGTTTGCCTGTTTTATTCTCTTCCAGGTATTTCTGCTGAACATAGGTAATTCATAATTACTAAGCATTTTTCATATTTTCCTAGAAGCAGGTGGCAAAAAATTAAAGAGCACAGTCCAGAGAAGCACAGAAACTGGGTTGGCCGTGGAGATGAGGAACTGGATGACTCGCCAAGCCAGCCGGGAATCCACTGACGGCAGCATGAACAGTTACAGCTCCGAGGGGAAGTAAGTCTCGGATGTCCCTTTCTTTTGTTTTGAACTTTAAGATCAGAACTTTTAAAGGAAGGCCCATTCATTCATTTCCCTCTCCCTCACGGGGTACTTCCACTTTTTTGCCATATTTTCTAGATGGATTTAGTCTTGGCGGGAATATGCCCATTATGAGAAGCCCAACAGAAAATACACAGTATGTAGTGAGGAGAAAAACAAGCTAAAGAGAAATGAAAGTTTGCCTTTTTTTGGAAAATGTGAATCTTTATAATCATTTTGGAAATGGGATTCATAACCTTTTTGGAAAACCACTGGTCAAAGAAAAGGCATGACCTTATTAGAAGTCATAACCCTTTTTGAAAAACTGCATTCATCAGCATTCATGCAGGGGAACTAGGTCTCTCAGCTCTTAAACCGATATACCTAGGTATGTCTTTGAACTACTAGGGACAAAGACATGCCAATGCACAAAAACATATATATTTCAGTAGAGTTTCAGAAGTGTTCCAAGAAGTTGCCCCAAAACATCTACTCTCCTTTAAAATATATTTGCCTTTAAATCATGCTCTCAAGAGACAAAATAAACAATCTTCTTTTAAAGTAACGGAGTTGGTTTACTCGCAAAACTTCATGTATACAGCATACAGGCACTTTGCTTATGAATCCAGTTACAATAGGATTTTAAGTAGTTTCTCTGTGTAGATAACACAGGGCACCTTCCTTAGAAACAATAGTCCATAGTCCAAAGCATCTCTCTGTTTTGAGAGTAATAAGTCTCTAAGCATACTGTTCCTGCATTGATGTCTAAAGCATACATATGACTTCTACTCTAAGAGTCTGATAGCTTCTATAGAACATACTTTTCCTACTGAAGTCTAAATTGATGTGTGTTTCTGATGCAAACACACTCTTCTCTACTTGGCTCTAAAATGGAGTCAGAGTCCTGAACATGCTCAGTTCTGATCGCATGGTCTGTATCCCCTCCCACAACAAAGAGATTAGATCAAATTGCAAACCAATACACACATGCAGTACAGCAAGCAATTATGTATATGACAAATAACTAGTGGAGGCTGAGAAGGTTGCTATTCCAACATGCCTTGTCCTTATTTTTAATTTGAGGGAGATTTGTTCTAGCAACAGTGTCCTTTCTTCTAGCGGAGATGGTGTCCTTTCTTCAAATCATATATATCTGAACTATTGCCGAGTAGATTCCTTTACACATATTGAAATTAATGATGTGTGGACTTACAGCAAGAGGAAGGAAAGTATTGTGCAAGCAGAATTCTGCTGGTTATACTTTAGATCTTAGCCCCATCTTCGGATGAAAGTTTTAATGAGACTTTTCATCGCTAAGACAGAAATAGGTAATTTGTGACCTGCTGGCTCTATACACCTGCCAGCCAGCCATTTGTGTACTCTCTCACTGTGTTCCCAATGCCACGAAATCCCACCGATTCTGCTGGGAAATATGGCATACAACGAGAGTGCCCTTTCATGTCCAACAGAAATGTGCTCTTGTTAGGTTGTCTTGAATAGAAATTACCTATGGAAAAAAACATGTGGCAACTTTGGAAGGTTTGTTGTGATGTGTTCTCTGGGGAGCTCTCAATGCACCCCTTCAATCTGGGGAAATTTTCAGTCTGCTCTAAATATAGGGAAAAGAGAATACAATATTCTGCAAGTGCCTGGATGTTCTTTTGTAATATGGATGTTGAAGTATTAAAGCGACACTCATAATGCATCATAACATCGTTTGTCTAGGTAGACAATATTACTAGACTTTTTTGGGATGCAACATTTGGAGATGCTCTTGCAAAGATTTAATATAGTTTATATACATGCTCAGTTCTGTTTCTTGGAAAGGAAAATTGTGGCTTAATCTAGTGTCTTCAGGCTGTTGAACTGAGTGCTATTAAGCCCCTCCCTTATATACGTAGATGATCATGTTTTAAAAAAGATCCCTGATGATTCAACAAAAGCAAGGAAGAAAAAAGTGTAGTTAGCGGGGCCACTAGTGACCCTAAAGTTGGCTTCCAGTTTTTTCATGTGTTCAATACTGTTTTAGCGACCTAGAGATATTCATGGTGATTCCACTTTTGGGGGGTCCTGCACCCTAACCTCTCTGAAAGTACTGAAATGACCTTAAAAGTTGACCATAGCTAAAAAAGTAAAGTTGAAAGAATTTCTTTATAGTCCCAAGTAAACTTTTCACTAGGAACAAGCTTTGGTACTTTCTCAGAAAATGTTTATTCTGTTCAGCACGAGCTCCGAGAGATATGCAGGAGACGAGGCTGCCTTTGTAGAGCGCTCCTGCAGTTAGTTTATTCTGTTCCAATGGTATTTGTCAAGGACAGTTACTCTTCCTGAAAGCCATAGGATAATGATTGTATTCAACTTTATTATTATTTTAAAGCAGTCTTTTTTTATTATAGTCAATATGCTACATGAGAGAGAAACACACAAGCTTCTACCATTTCATACATCTTTTAGCAAAGCAAGACATCTTCCTCTTTAGGTCAAAGGTTGACCTAAGATCGTCAATATCAGATATAATGTGAATAAATGGCAAAGGGGTAGGAATCAAGATTCATTCCCCAATAATAACAATTCCATTTTTTGCCATAGAACATTTGGAGGAAAGAATGGAAAATTCAGCATTTTGGAAGATCTAAAATTTGTCTTTGACTGAATATTTTATATAAAAATATTTTGTCCTTGGGACTATTTAGGTATATGTTGGTGCATGTGTTGTTATGAGCTGAATTCATAATACATAAGTATGGTTTCTTTTACTTTGTAAATAAATTTTCTATTAAAATAAGTCTTTTCCCCACCAGTTTGATCTTTCCTGGTGTGCGGTTGGCTGCAGACAGCCAGTTCAGTGATTTTCTCGATGGACTTGGTCCTGCACAGCTTGTTGGGCGTCAAACTCTGGCTGCTCCAGCAATGGGTAAGAAATCTTTCCATTGTGATTAGTTTGTCAATAATATATTCACCTGATTGAAATGCTTTAGAAAAGGATGGAGGAAGTATGATCCTCACAGTCCCAAACCTCCTTTTAAAAATCCCCACAAGCTTACAGGTATCCCCATTTAATTTTTCTGGATCTTTCTGGCCCCCAAATACAAAAAAAATAATCTAAGCTTCTTTTTGAGCATGAGCAGTTGGGTGTAATGGTAAAAGCCATTGGGTTTTCTTCATCAATTGATGTGAACAAAGTCCTCTCCATGGCCAAAACCAATGACTCGGGATGACAAAAACATGATAAAATTGTCTTTTTGGAGTCATCAGGAGGCATTTTAATGTGTTTCCTTCCCCCAAATTAGTGCCCTTTTCATGGAGCCCATGGGCTAGACTTCCCCTATCTCTGATGTCAACCATTTGTTCCTACCAGCTTTTCCTCCCCAGTTCCAGAGTTGTTGGAAAAGCCATTCTCATTGTCAGCACATTCAAAATATTTAATATACTCTGGCCCAAGCAGAAATCCTCCACTTTGTGTTAGAAGTACTTATATCCCATTGTTTAAGGAGCACATCTATCCCACTGTGGAAAGCACAATTTCAACTGCAGTCAGGTGCTGCCAAGGCCCATTATTCTACGACTGGTGGTTAATGTTGCTGCAGAATGTTTTGAAGCACAAAAAAGCATTAGTGGAGGCACCATAACTTTAGAGATATAATTCTTTAAGAGCATCTATTGTAATGTTAGGACAAACAGGGCATCCCTCCACCTGCCAAATTTTATGTAATAGAACTGACGGCTGGCAGCAACAAAAAAAATTACTTTCCCACTTTAAAACAAAGTCAATATAGAACCAGGCCCATTTTCCCTAGTAAAACAAGCACACTTTGAACACCCCAAAAGCTCCCAGATGTTCTCTTTAATTTGAAAACCAAAGTTACGTTGTCAATGTACATTGTTTTAAAGAGGGAAGTTCTGCCACACCCCAGAATTTCAGCAAAGTAAAAGGACCAAAAGGACAGTCTACTTTCCCTTAGCTGCTTGCTTAGCATGCTGACACTTGTACCGAAAAGGCAAAATAAGATTCTATCCAAGTGTATGTTCTAAGTAATCCCTTTTATTATGCCCATATCATGATGAACTTAATGATGCAATGAAGATTAACTTTGTTTTATGTCTTGCTTACATGAGGAAAATACAGGGAAAGGAGAATGATTTGCCATTGATAACGTATTTTAATAACATTGCTTCATTTTATTTTAATACCTGTGGGTTTTTCTCCCCTATTTAGGTGATATTCAGGTTGGAATGATGGATAAAAAGGGACAGTTGGAAGTAGAGATAATACGAGCTCGAGGCCTTGTTGTAAAACCAGGTTCAAAGACACTGCCAGGTAAGAAGAATATGCTTAAATCATATAATTGAAAACACGGAAGGTTCATGAACATTTGTGGTTGTTAAATGTGCCCTTCCTCACAGTACCCAAGGTCTTTCCTCACCAGATGTCTCTATAGATCAGTGGTTGTCAGCCTATGGGTCCCCAGATGTTTTGGCCTTCAACTCTCAGAAATCCTAACAGCTTGTAAACTGGCTGGGATTTCTGGGAGTTGTACACCAAAACACTAGGAGACTCACAGATTGAGAACCACTGCTATAGAGCTCTGTTATATTTAATTGTATGCATTTTATAAAACTCCACTTTCATAATTTGGTTTGATAAGATACTTATATTGCAATATATTGAATTAGTGACTATATATGTGGACGTTTGTGCTGTTCTTAGAATCCAAAACTTCAACAGTTATGAATTGCCCTTTTGCTTTGCTCATTAATAGAAATCATAATTAGCACAAAACTAAAACTTAGATTGGTTCTTGTTTTATTTTATTGTACCAAGAAGCAACTGTTTCAATGGTCAAAATCTTCTTAATTCTGACTGGATTAGACCAACTGAATTATTTGGATTTGCCTATGTGTTGACCCACCAATCAACAATGGATTCAAATTGGTATATTCAAGTTAGGAACAATCAATGGGATATTAACCTATTGAAAATCAGATTTCTCTTCATGAGAGCAGATTACGTTATCTGTAGTGGTTGTTCTGTAAGTGGTCTTCTTTGAGCTAAGAGAGATTTGTACAGGGCCATATTTAGAACATTCTTGAACAAGAATGTTCTCTTTCTTTGACAATGAGTTATGTCTTCTCCTTTAGTACATTTTTATTTTCTATTTGTTGTCCTCTGACCAGAGGATTTCTGGCCTCTAAAGCCTTGTTATGGAAGTGCATCTTCTATAATTAGTTTGTTCCACCAACTGACAGGACAGTTAGTCTATTTATTCTGTCTTCAAGAAGGACATCTTGTGATTCCTGTTCACTGAATAAATTTGAAAATAAGGATTATTCCATCTCCACTCTGTGGAAAGAAACTTTATATAACCTACACCTTTCTTTATTCAAGATCAGTTCCCTTAATATTGCTTTTGGCTTCAGGGGTATGACTTGTTCAACTTCCTTGTCTAGAATAGAGCCAGTGCCAGCACCAACACACCTGAGGCAGATTAATAGCTTGTTTGAGACAAAAGGCATAATCTATGTGCTCGGCTCCATAGGAAGAACCTTATACGGAGCAAGAGAAAAATACATAGAGGATGCGAGGGAGCCCAGTTCTCCCTTTCCCACTGGCAGTTATATTGTTGGAAGTTGTGGCTCTAGCAGCAGCGATCTCACCCTTTATCAGCTGCAACTGCATTGATGTCTTCAATATCGATATATCAGTATTGACACTGGGACACTCACATCCTCTGGCATTGACACGAGCTGCATCAATGCTACATTTCCTGATTAGAATACTGGAAAGGCTTCAGATATATTTGAATTGCTCTGAAACTTAAATTACCTTTGTGTGCACAGGTATGTGCCTTCAAATTGCCTTTTGATTTATGGTGACCCCATTAATTTCATAGATTATTTTTACCGGTTCCTTCCTCTGAAATATAGACTACAGCATCTAGTATTTGTGATGGTATCCCATCCAAGTACCAACCAGAGCTGACACTGCTTAGTTGCCAAGATCAAATAGCATCTGATGTATTTAGGGCACTCAGGCAACCTTCATTAGTTATTATTTCTCATGGGAGCATTCCCCCTTCAGTGTTGTTATTTAAGACATGAAATAGTTGTCCCTACTGTTCCTTTAGAGCAATGGTCCCCAGCCTCGCTGTTACTACCTCATTGCAACAATAGTGACTGTTCTCGCAAAACCCTCTTATAGTGGTGAGGCAATTGGGATGTCAGGAGGGGAGAGACTGACTACCCATGAAAGGCGTGACAACAAGCCTCCTGACTCCTGTTTCTTCTCCTCCTTCTGAGCGGAGCTGTTCCATGTGGCACCTGGAAGCAGGGTTGCATTGGTGTATTTATTGTATTGTCGAAGGCTTTCATGGCTGGAATCACTAGGTTCTTGTGGGTTTTTTCGGGCTATAGAGCCATGTTCTAGAGGCATTTCTCCTGACGTTTCGCCTGCATCTATGGCAAGCATCCTCAGAGGTAGTGAGGTCTGTTGGAAGTAGGAAAAATGGGTTTATATATCTGTGGAATGGCTGGGGTGGGGCAAGGAGCTCTTCCCTGCTGCAGTTAGGTGTGAATGTTTAGCTGATCACCTTCATTAGCATTTGAAGGCCTGCCTGAGCCTGGGAAAATCTGTTGCTGGGAGGTGTTAATCTGTGCCTGGTTGTTTCCTCTCTGTTGTTTAGCTGTTAATTTTAGAGTTTTTTAATACTGGTAGCCAGATTTTGTTCATTTTCATGGTCTCTTCCTTTCTGTTGCTTGTGGATTTCAATGGCTTCTCTGTGTAGTCTGACATGGTGGTTGTTGGTGTATTTATTTTTAAGCTGTTCCTGGGGTTATTTGGGGTGCTGATTCAGAAAATTGCATTGGATAGACCACATAAGCTCTAGATTATTAAATATGGTTTTCTTTGGGTGAGCAGATGATGACTACTGGGTGGCATATGTTCTGTATCAGAAACTAGAGCTGATGTGGTCTATCCAATGCTTTTTCCTGAATCAGCATCCCAAATAACCAAACCAAATCTAAAGTTGACAAAAACTGATTTGTAACTCTTTTGGTACTAATGTTGGAGAATGGTCCCTGGTCAAAGTGGTCCCTGGACAAGTGGTCCCTGGTCAAAAAAAATGTTGGGAACCACTGCTTTAGAGACACATGTCATTTTCATTGTTAGGGGCTAGCTTGGAGAGAAACTTCTTGAATGCCATATTCTGAATGTCCCTCTGTGGTTTGTTTGCAACCACTGCTGTCCTCAGCCTTCCAGTTATTCAACCAGAAATGATGACTTGCACCAAGGCCATGCAGAATCATTTTGGTCTCAATGTAGGATCACATACTCTACCTAAAAATTTCACAAACATCATGAATTTGCTAAACTAACCTCTACACTTTCCTTACTGTCAGATTCCAATCCTCCACCTGAAACTCTTATTCTAAGATAATGACATCTTCTTTATACACTGCAGTTTTTTTCTGGTGCATTTGGCTTTTTTACATTTACTTGTCTGATTTTAAGTCATTTAATTGCACAGACATACTCATTCTTGTACAGGTTTCCCACACTAATTTTCACAAAAGCAATCAGTTTATCCTGTCTAAAGGTAATACTCTTTTGCACAGAAAAAATGTTATAGAAAAACCAAGTGCATTTTTGTAAAATTTTCCTTATATCTCAACTAAAAATAGTGCTCAGAAGTGTACACAAAGAGAAGACTACTGAAATTATATTTTTTTTACATGTGATAATGAAATAAGTGGATACTTACATTGGTATTCCAAACTAGATTATCTATTGTGCTAATTTATTTGTTTTTATTTATTTACTACATTTTTATCCTGCTCTATCTCAACCCCAAAGGGGTATTAAAACATAAAACATACAAAATACATTATATATTAGAATAATAAAAACAGAGACATATAAATACTTTTAAATAAGCAGTTATAACATAGCACATAGTCCCAAAATCATAGTCCAAAAGCCGTTCCAATCATCTTAACTTTGTAGCCACATATTGCACTGTAACTACTCTCCAAACGCTTGGTCCCATACCCAAGTCTTCAATCTAGGTAAGACTATCCATTGTCTTGGCTAGGTTTACTAAGATGTATTTATTTATCAGTTATATATCAAGATTTTGTTCACAATGTTAAAATGGTGTAGTTATTTCACAAAACGGGCCTCTGAATTAATCTTCCTGTTGTTTCGCCCCACAGCACCATATGTCAAGGTGTACTTATTAGAAAATGGAGTCTGTATAGCCAAAAAGAAAACAAAGGTGGCCAGGAAAACATTGGAACCTCTTTATCAGCAGCTGTTGTCATTTGAAGAGAGTCCCCAAGGAAAGGTTTTACAGGTAATTTTTACTCTTAGCCATGTTTTTTTATTTAATCACCATCCATTGAATGCTGTAAGCCTAAATTGGTTCCCTAAATTGGTCTCCATGGAATTTCTCATACCCCGGATGACTAAAAATATTTTTTAACTTGTAAGCTGACTTGCTGCAAAGCAACATGCTAGTATCAAGCATCATTTTTATTTCTAGTACAGATTGTGTATCCCTTTCTGGAAATACAAAATCCAAAATACCCCAGAAGTGGCTGAGATAGTGAAACTTTTGCTTTTTGATAGTTCAAGGTACACAAACTTTGTTTAAAGTTTTGATTGTATATAAAATTACTTTTAGGGTATGTGCATATGAAACATAAATGAATTCTATTTTAGATCTGGGTCCCATCTCCAAAATAGGACAATGTGTGAACCCAAATATTAAATAATAATAATAATAATAATAATAATAATAATAATAATAATAATAATAAATAACTTTGTTTTATACGGACATTTCTGGTTCTAAGCATTTTGGGTAAGGGATACTCAGTCTGTAATGTATCTTTGAACTTGCATACTAAGAAATTTTTATAGAAGACAAAATACTGAGTAGCTGGAGACCAATACTTCATTTTGAATTGTGCTCAGTCTCCCAGGGGTAAGAAATGAGAAGCTGAAAGTAAATGGGAACATTTTGGAGACTGGGAGCACATTTAGTTGCCAGGATGCAGCAATCCGAAAGGCAGGTCCCATCATGGTATGGTCAATTTTGCTGACAACGCAGAGAAAAATCCTCTTTTACCATTTAAAAAGACATACAAGTGGTTCCATGCTTCTGGGAAGTATCCATGAATATGGATTGTATGCACACTAGATGGGTAAAACATGCAAACTGGCACTTTTTTCTGTCACCAAATTATAATAGCAAAATTACCAGGGGCAAGAAAAACTCCCAGGGGCCTCTGGGATAAAAAAGGGAAAGGGACACATACAAACTGCAGATTTACTACTGCTGTCCTTTAATATAATAACAATAAAACTTTATTTGTATTCTGCCTTATCTCCCGGGGGGATTCAGGGCGGATTCCAACATACAACAGCAAACATTCAATGTCTCTATAAAATCTGAACAAGCGTCGAACCATAATTTTCAGAAGCCAACTGGAGTTCACAGAGTTGTGTGGGTTGGTTGTATGGCCAGTGATGGTAACTGGGCTGACATGAGCTAGCAGAGCCCAGATACAAAATAGTTCTCAACCAGGGCCCTGTAGTGATCTCTTATTTTCCAATCCTCCTCCTCTCCATATTCCACTGAATAGAAGTAGGTCTTCAGTTGTTTTTTAAAGGAGAGGAGAGAGGGGGGCAGCTTAAGTTCTTTAGGGAGGAAGTTCCAGAGGTGGGGAGGTGACCACAGAGAAGGCCCTCTCTCTCTTGTTCCCACCAGCCATACTTGAGATGGGGGTGGGACTGGGAGCAGGGCCTCTTCTGATGACTGCAGTGTCCAAGCTGGTTTGTAAGAGGAGATGCAATTGGTCAAATAGCTTGGACCCAAGCCATTTAGGGCTTTAAAGATAATGACCAACACTTTGTATTTATTGTTCTGGTTCATTTTATTAATCTGAAGAACTCACTTTCTCCACGACTGACATCGGTTTCTTTTGTTTGACCCTACAGATTATTGTGTGGGGTGATTATGGACGTATGGATCACAAATCCTTTATGGGAGTGGCACAGATACTGTTAGACGAACTGGACCTGTCCAATATGGTGATTGGCTGGTTCAAACTTTTTCCCCCTTCGTCCCTAGTAGATCCAACGTTGGCCCCTCTGACCAGAAGGGCTTCCCAATCATCTCTTGAAAGTTCGACGGGACCTTCTTACGCGCGCTCATAGCAGCTGTGAAACTGTTGTCAGAGCAACCAGCGTTACAAAAAAAAAATCAACAGGTCGCAAACCCTGGTAACACTGCATGCTTAATGTTGTGTCTTTGGAGCCTGTTTCTAGGGCTATAAAGCGATTCTGTGTTCTCAGAGGAAGTTGCACACATTGTGCTCTAAAGGAAGTCCTCAGGTGAAGGAGTGGAGCTGGAAAGAACTGAATGGTCGGGAGTTCAGTGACACTCAACTTGTAGTCCAATCTGAAGCCATGGATTAAACTAAAGAATCAAGCTGTCTCATGCAACAAGAATCCCTTTCAATGGCACATCTGTTTTCTCGCTCCCTTTTTGTTCTCTGCCCCTTCCTGCCCGACCCCAACCCCAAGCCTGGTGATGCCACAGAAACATGGAGCTACCCAAACACTGTGCCACGAGTCATCGGAAAGATGGAAGCCAAGAGGGTTAATTAAGGAAAGCCAGTGCAATTGTGAACAGCAGAGGAAACTCGCCTTACCAGAAAGGTTGAAGACTTATAGTGGCAGGCCTTGCAATTTCAGCTCTCGCTAGAGTCGAACCCCATGCGCGTGGACTCTGAAAAAACAAAATTCTGTGGCTATACTGTACTGTATGAAATTAAAGACACTTTTTTGCATGGACACAGATTATGCTGAACACTTAAAATTATTTTCTTGGGGCTGCAACTTGCAAAAAAAGAATAAATCAGCCATTTTCAACAATTTATATTATTTTTAAAAATAAATTTCACTAGTGCATGGTTTTAAAAGGGAGAGAATGCAACAGGGTGGTAAGACACACCAAGTTTATCATTCTTTAAACCAATCATGGTCTGTGTTTTGGCAGACATACAAATGAAAAATTAATGATTTCTAGCAAATATTTAAAAATTATGTTTATGTGACAAGAAATAAGTGTAATATATGAAATTTATTTAAATGTAAAAGGTACAAGCCTTGTAAAGTTCAACAATATGTGCAAATTGTACACTTCTTTCCCCTTCTTGTCTACCCCTCCTCCCTCCTTTTGCTCTCTCTCATTCCCTTCCTACCTCCCAGGATGATCATTATACTCTGAAAACGCTACTTTTTGACTTATTACTCTCATGCTCCATATTTGGTTCAGGGTTGCAGGTTATTCTGCATTTCTGAAATCTTTGAGAAAAAAAATATTGGTTAAGACCTTTTTCAAGCATGTTGAAAAGTATTTTGCAACATGGCTTGGGAAGTACATTACAATAATTCAGCATGTATTTGATAAAAAATTGAACTTTTTGCAGTTTATTGTACAGTGCATGGAAACTTCTTTTATTTTTTTTTCCTCACCTTCAATTAAATTCTGCAGCAAAATACTGGAATCATGTGGCCATTTGTAAAACATCTTCAATAAATTTGTTTTCAGCACCAGCATCATTCATTCAAGGTTGAACTATCGTTTCTGGATGGTCTTGAAGAACTCACAAGATGACAGTCTTGCTAACTATCAGCATCTTTATCATTTGCACTGAGCCAAACAAACTGCTACCCATTTAGGGCCTCAATAAAGAGCAATTAAACCCATTTTCATAAACCATGTGGTGGCAAATCGGTGAATATAAAAAGCTGACATCAAAAAGTCACAACCAGAGTTGCAGTCCTGCACCTACTTAATTTTTAATGGTACCAACATGCCCTAAGAGATTGCAGGATTGCACCTTTGGATTTTTTTTTAAAACGCCTTAAAATACATTCAGTTTAATAATTCTGACACCATCACCAAGAGCCTAAATGTAAAGGAGTAACATTACGCCTGGCACCTGTACGCAGGTATTTTAGAACTATGGGAAGCTGGGGTGAAAAGGTGGAGTATTCAAAGTCCAACTCTTTCGTGATTTTATAATGAAAGGGAATGTAACTTGTTTAAGTGCATCATTCTTCTTTTCTGTGTCTTTCGATGCCTTTAATTCGTACCTATTGTTTAATGTCAAAGCACTGCAATAATATTTGAATAAACATAATGTTTAAATTATGGCCATGCACGCAAATATTCTGATTTGGGGCAAAAGATCTGTAACGTTACCTCCTCCCCTCCTGCCCAAATAGATTGACTCACAGAAGAGCAAAAGCCAGAACTGAAAATCCTCCTGATGCCTTTTATTTGATAGGGTGTATGAAGCAAAATAATGAGCACAGTGCATTAATTTTGCCCATGAGAGCATTACTCAAACAGATGGAGAGTGTGCAGCTAGAATGCCTCATGAATTGCACCCATACAACAAACCCAAACTCCATTTGTGCACCAATGGAAAGAAATGTGCTTATGGAGATTCTCCTATGTAGTAAATAATGGAGATGTTATCTCTGGTGGGAATTCTGTATCAAGGACCTTGCATCCATCAGAAATTAGGGTGGATGAGAGAGGCTTTTACAAACTTTATATACAGTATATACTAAGTGAAAGAAGATTGGTAAGATGTATTTGAGTGAAATAATTTATGTTGGTACAAACTGCGGATGTATACCAAAATAATGCATTGTTCCCTAGGGAAAAACTTTTTTTTTTCAAAAAAAATATATGACTCTTCCTCATACTGTGACATGCAGTCGATGCATTCTTTTATGCATATTCCTATATAAAATTATTTGTAATTCCTACAAGAAGGATATGACCGTATGAAAAGTCTGTACATACTTGGTCATTATACAGTATTTATTTTAAAAGTTGATTGTATTTTTTTTAAATAACCACATGTCTGCAACTCTGCTTATATTTTAGTCATGTAAATAGCATTCTTCCAGTGACCACAGCTGTCTTGTACATAGTCTGTTTTAAAAGTAAAGGGAATCGAAGTTGGGGGAGAAATGGACAGTTTAGGCCTGTTAATGAACACCGACTAATGTAAATCCAATTCATTCTGGTGATGGCATTTATTTAACACTTTAAATAAAACATTTTCTTTACAGAATTTGTTAAGTGATTCTTTTCCTTAATACACTTTTCCTCCCAAGAGACGTTGGTGATCTCCTTGAGTGATAGGAGTTTTAAAAACTTGAAGGAAATGTACCTACAAGACTCATTGAAATTGTTTTGTTTTTGGTTTGTGTATCAGGAGCGACTTGAGAAACTGCAAGTCACTTCTGGTATGAGAAAATTGGCAGTCTGCAAGGACGTTGTCCAAGGGGACGCCCAAATGTGTGTGTATTTTTAATGTTTTTACCATCTTTGTGGGAGGCTTCTCTCATGTCCCTGCATGGGGAGCTGGAGCTGACAGAGGGAGCTCATCCACACTCACCCCAGATTTGAACCTCCGACTTGTCAGTCTTCAGTCCTGCTGGCACAAGGGTTTAACCCATTGCGCTATGGCTGGCTCCTTGCATTAAAAAGTAATAGAAGCACAGTTCTCATCTTCACTCTGGAATTTATTTAAAAGCTTATAGGTGTTTGTACCTTATTGTTCTCAAAGGTTATTCCAAAGTTATTCATCTTGACATTTTATCAGCAAGTGGCGTACATGAGTGGGTTGGTGTTACTGAAATTATTCATGATAGTTTGTATAAAGTGGAGATAAAGCTGCAAATCCATAGAACTAGTGACTCAGCACCGTTGTTAGACTCATTAAACAAACGAAAAACTGATTTCTAAGATGTACATCTTCATAAAGCGCTGTGCCTTAACATTACTCCCTATACAGTAATTATGTTCAGATAATTGTGTAAATATATATTTGAAGTAACGAGGATAGCTAAGCAGCATGTGCATACACAGAAGACTAAACAAACTTTCAGGTGCAATTTCTTAAAGATGGAAACCAAGCATTTTGTGTAGAGGTTGATATGGTGATATGGTTGAAAATGCAACAATAAACATAAGCTTTCACCAGCTTTCATCAACTGTCTAGAGGCATCAGGTACTCCAGGAGATTGAGCCTACGAAAGCCGGTACTATAAGCTTATTTCTCCTAGTTAGTTTCAAAGGTGCTACAAGGTTCCTTGGTATGCTGCCACAGACTATATTAATGGTAAGTTGTTTTTATACCCCATCGTTTGACAACTGTCTCATCCAATATAATTGCAGAAACCAGGGAGCAAACTTTCAGGTCCTTCAGAATTTTTCATCAAACTAGTATGCAGGGAGACATGGTGGCCAATTTTTGTTCCATCTTGATGAATGCCTTTGTAGAACTCAAAAACTTACTTTATTTTAGGACATTTTGGTTGGTCTTATTTTTCAATGTGTCAGAAGTAAACTGAGGGTGTAGTTATAATGTATTTAAAAACACAAACAAAGTTAAAAACTTGGCATTATGCTAAATGTTCTTAGACCAGAAGCTGTCCACTTGGAGTGCCTCTGGTGTCGCTGTGAGATGGTCCTCCATTGTGCATGTGGCAGGGTTCAGACTGCGTTGTAGTAAGCAATTTGTGGTTTGCCCTTCTCCATACTCGCATGTCGTGGACTCCACTTAACAGCCCATTTCTTAAGGTTAGCTCTGCATCTTATGGTTGGTCTCAATAAAGGTATTACCAAATGATTGATTTTGAAATGCTGCTCCCCCCATCCCTGCACACGGATAGCTCCATTAAGATGGTTCTCCAAACTAGTCTAAAAATCATATCCATTATTAATATTTCAGCCACTTCAAGGTCCCTTAGAATTTATGATTAAATATTATATGCTAATTAAGGAATGCATTCTCAAACAGGGTTTCTGGAAGCTGTAACTTTAGCCTATAAAAATATTGAGGCTCTTGGAGCTAGAATAGTGTTTTGCCAGAACAGAATAGGTATTGTTGTTTGGTTTTCTTTAAAGCAGGAATGGTCCTCCAGATATTGGATTATAGCAACAGCCCAAGCCAGCATAGTCAGGGATGAAGGATGCTGTTGCACAACAAATGGAGGAGCACATTGGATCGTTCTCATCTCAGGGAAGGCACATCACAGTACCCAGGATTTCAAACCCCTGGATACATTAATAGGGTTCATAGGCATGTAGCACTATTTGTCATTAAAATAAGCACCTAGGAGTGGTGGTCTCTGCAGGTTGTGTGGAGCAGTGTGTGTTATTCCTTTGTGAACATCACTTGATATACATCAGTGGGTGTCCACACATGACAAGCCAATAGTTAACTTCTCCTTAGCCAAAGCTACATGTGACAATAACAAAATGCCCAAATGTCAGTAAGCTGCTGATTACACATCTCATCCTATGAAGAAAACTGTATATCCCAGATCTGATATCTGGACCTTCTCTCCTTCTGAAAATGTGTGTGTATAGGTAGGGCAAAATTTATTTAGAGAGCAGAGTTGTATAGTGGTGTAAGTGCTGGACTACAATTCTGGAGAAACTCAGGTGGCACCTAGTCACAGCTAGTAGTTTGTTAACTTATTATTGTCTTTATGTCAATATATCAAACAACAAATACACTGACTAATGTATTAATGTAATTAATAATGGCAGCAAGCAGCACAGATATATTTTTGATAAGACAATGGATTGTTAACATATCTGATGAATGATGTACATAAATGCCTGTTCTCGCCGCTTATTGTTTTGTTATTGTTATTTTTTAAAGCTAATTGTATTGTTTTAATCTGCTTCTGTAAACTGCTCCGAGCGGTATACAAGTTAAATAAATAAATAAATAAATAAGATTCCAGATATTAGGGACATCCTGATGGAAAGAAGTAATTGGTTTGCTTAGAAGTAAATCAACATCTCTTTCTAAATACAGAGGTAAGTGTATTGATAAGTGTGGCATGGGAGTGGGGAAGAAACCTAAGAGCTACTTTGGATATTCTGACAAAACTAATATTTTCAGAAAACTGAAATAAAAGCAAGGAAAACAGAAATCTTGTGTCATTTTTACAACATGAACTTTTAGAGACTATTGGTCACTTTTTCAGAAGAAAGAAGAAAAAAGGGTACTCAAAACACCAGCTTTTCAAGAAGGAAACCACCCTGCTCTGCTGTCTTACAAATGGGGATGAAAAGAACCCAAAACAATTCCTCTTCTCAAAGGGTTAAATTTTCAGATTCGCTATTGTTCCACAAATATGCCAGAAATCTTTTCCTGATCTCTTTTTGTTTGCCTCATGTTGCTAGTGAAGGCCAGAGTCAAAAGCAAAATAGAGAACTTTTCCGTTTCTCTCCATCTTCTCCATCTGGCAAGATGCTGCATACCAACCACTCTTGAAGAGGAATGAACGAAGCGATAGGCCTACATAGAAGGAAAGTGTTTAGAGTCTAGGCAGGTGAGTTGCGGTGTTTTGTACTGAAAGAAAACAAATGACTATCTTCATGGTCCTTCCAGCCTTAGACCTGAACAAGAGAGGGTTAGAGTAAGCACAAGGAGTTGGCTATATAAGCCATTCTCCTCTCCTAGCCCCAATTTTTTTTCTCTGCACTGGTTGCAATGGCACACACCCTCCTAATACACATTCCATTTAATCCTCTACCTATAATGTATGTGGACTGTCTATTCAGATGCCCATATGGATTTACATTGACATGTAGAGACTGTCTATCCAGATTGTATTGCTTTCAATGGAATGCACAAATTGATTTGCATAAGAGTGTGCCTGACATTGAAAGAAAAATGGTGTGTTTAAGACTCTGGAATGTGCATCTGGATGCATTCCACCACCATATCATGCTGTTTGTATATAAATACCACATATATTTGCTGTATATTTATCTTAGAAGAAGAAAAGGGGTAGGGAGAAATAGAATATAACACTTTTTGCTCTAGGAGAGGAATGGAATGTAATTTGGTAAGAATGATATAGTCGGAAAAACTTGGTCATTATATGCATATATTCCAATAGCCTTTTAGAATACCTCAGGCTACAGTTCTGTGCATATTTAACTAGGAGAAAACACATATATACACATATACATACAGGTACCAATTAAAGCTCATTGAAACTTATTTATGAGTAGATATTTTGAGTAAATATTATTGCATTTAGAATAAAAATGTAACACTGCTCTGCAGGAAAAATAAACTCAAATAACTAAACAGTAAAATCTCTCCCAATGTTCAACCTCCACAAGTACAGGATATTCTGTTCCCAAGCTTGGAAAGACTGCATCGTTTTGCTTTTCCCTGTTGCCTACTGATAAAACCAAAAATCCCCTTTCTTGCTGAATTACATGCAAAACACTTCTGCACTTTGAGCTCAATCTGCAGCAAGTGAAATAAGCTGAATGTTGGAGGAGTAAAAAAAACTGGGACATTTTGAAAACACCTAAGGGACTGGGTTGGCAAAGGATGAATCGGGGCTATGAACATCAAACTGAGACAGTTAGAGGGTTTGAAACTGGGAATTAGGAAGGAAAATAACATGGCCCCACATGAGTTTGCAGCTATGTGGGCAGAAGCAGGTTAGAAGACAGCACAAGAGATTTGCATACTATTCAAAAAGAACATATGCGCATCTATACCATAATGGGATACCAACTTCTGTTTAAAATGTGTTATTTCATTGTTACGGTTGTTGTGGCTTGTTGTATTTTAATATTATATTCATACTAAAATTTGCAGAAATATTTTTCCTGGGCAGATGAGAAATATGAGAAATATTTCCCAGTCATGTCATGTGGTCATGAGACATGCATGTATTTATGAAGTGTTTGGATGTATTTATTTGCTTCTTCCTTCCTGCACTTTTCGTTTTTTTGCCATGCCTGTCTGGTTGTATATTTGATCTTTAGTATTTATAGTCCAAGTTGAGGATTTAGCTGGCCCTCCCTTTTTCTCAGGCAGGAAAACTGAGAAAAGATTCTGCATAGACATTTTCAAAGCTGTGGGTATCAGATGTTAGTACGGGTGCTCTTTGATCTCTTTTAACATTCAATAGTGATAGCAAGTTTGCGCACAAAGTCAAAGGATTTATTGCTAAGTTTCTGAATGTATTTACTGGTGTTTATAACCTTTTTTTCAGCTCACAAGTTCCTTTAGAATGACAA